CCTTTTTAAAGTGCTTGGGTTATAGGGTTTTTTATCATTTTATATTAAGACTTCTTGAATTTGCGTGTTTTTCTGACATTAATTTTCTCATAAATGTTGTTAGTATTTGCAAATTTAAAATAAGAAAATCCTACTACAATATTTGATAATCTATTTTTTCTTAGTCATTGTATAAATTAATTTTGGACTTTATATTTTGTTTTAACTTGCTGTAAAACATTTTAAGAACTTTTGTATAAGATTGGTTTAGTAAGATAGGATCCTGATGAATAAAAGCACAAAAGATACAGTGTTCATAAAACTATTTGAAATTCACAGTTTAATGAAATCTTTGGTGATTATTGACTTGTATTTTTTGGGGGATATATAGTGCTGTAATTCATTTTAATAATGAGTATGCTTTTAATAATTTATTAACATTTAATTTAAGCCCATAACTACACATGTTCCTAAACCATATTCAAACACAGGTGATTTTATCCCCTTTTACAATTTTAGTAATGTAATATGAATAATCTCATTTGACCCATGCTTTATCTTTTTAGTTATTAAAAATTGTTTTGTATGGTGCCAAATACTATAAATGATGCTGTTAAATCATTTGAAGTTGTAAAGAGCAACTTTAAGTATTATTGCTTTAGGTCTTTTTCATCTATTTTCATTCCTGTTCACATTTATATACACATCACTCACACCAAGAGTGAATGAGATTTAAAAAAAAAATCATAGAAGTAGCAGTAATTAGTTTCCTAATGATTTTGAGGATTACCTGACACTTGTTAAAAATGTATGCATTTTAAAAATTTTGCTTATTGGCACTATTTATTTTGTCTCCTTGTATATATAGTAATGTCTTAGCTATTTGTTATAAGTCACTTAGTACTTACTGTATACATCTTGTACATCTGTATTGCAAACTTTGTTTTAGGCTCCCATTCGAAAATCGGGAACATGCTTTGATTTTGACAGTTCTCTAACTTCAGTATCAGCCATAAAAAGGTTTGTGCATTAATTTTCTAAGTTTCATATGTGAAAAGTAAATATTTTATATAGACTGACTAAAAGATAGTTTTGTTTTTAAGTGTATCATCAAAGAAAATTTACAAGAACTGAAATTATTTTACTGTTAGATTGAACATGTAGTCTTGAAAAAAAATGAATATCTTCTTTTGAAATTACGAGGCTGATTTCCTGGTAAGTTAGTTTTTATCATGATTTATTTTGTTTTAAAGGGTGAATTAGGTGGATGATTGTATGATTAGAAACATGAAAACAGCCTTTTAAAAAAGTTGGAAGTAAAGCAAAGGAAAAAATATTTTGCAATATTTTTGTTACTAAGCGACACAAGTCTTATTTTTCTAAAATAAACAGTACTTAATAGTTACTAGAAGATCTTAATTAAGTTTGTAAATGTAGGTTTCTCATTCTTAAATGCTTTTATTTCCAACAAAATAGTTCCACAGGAAAATCTGTATACAGTGTTATAACCTGTGAATGTGTTCATTTTACAAACCTTCCTATTCACCTTCCTAGGGCATTATTTGAAAAGAACTCTGAAGACGATGACCAAAAAAATATTCTTAGTACCAGTGCTCCACCATCCACAACCACAAGTAGCCTGCTGTGTAATTTTGAGGTATTTATTTTACATATATTTACACATGTCTAAGCCAAAAAGAAATAAAAGAATATCACAAGAAAATTCCTCAAACTACTTCCAAACAAAATTTCTTCTGAACTTGCAAGTCAAATTTTTTTGAGTAGATAATTTACTAATCTTGAAGTATGTATGACCCATAAAGTTGTGATTAGTTACGACTTACCAATCCTTTGCTCATTTGTCTATAATCCATCACATATAGATTGCAGAATGATATGTTTGTTTTTAACCCTTTCCATCTGGGTCATGGGTGAAAGGCCATGTCATCGTGTTTGTTAACTCACATTCAAATGTTTATTGAACTACTATTTTATGAATTTGTTTGATATCAAACTGTAGATTATAATTCAAATTTTAGTATTATACTGTACTCAATTTTTTAATTTGAAAGTAAATATTAAAGAAACACAGTTATACATCAATTTTTTTTGTGTCACGTGGAATGTTGAATGCAGCACTGCTTCAAAGTAGATGTTTGTGATGTCAAAATACTAAGTCTATAGTTTCACACAAATTAGAAACTCGAATTACCAATATTGATAAGCTAGAATATAAAATAAGAGCCTCTTATCATTTCAATTTGCTAAGATATAGCTCATGTAATAAATCAAACACAGTGGCACCCTGCCCACCTCTTTTCATTTTTGGAAACGCTTCCTTATGTACACTTCTATATATGACATGAATAACCATTCAGAAGCTCAGAATGTCCCCTTAATGGCTTTCTCAGCCATTTAAAGGTCTTTGGATGCTATATATTTCTTCCGAACCAAGATTTCAAGGAGGTAGGTTGTGTCTTCAGTCTGCCCAAAATTTCAAATTTTTTTAGACTGAAATACAGCTTAGTTACTAAGCTTGATAAATCATAGGGGTATGCTATAGTACTGATATAGTAATTTATGATGTTTTGGTTATTCAACTGTATATATAAAACCTAAGAAAAATTATTTCATATCCTCAATGTGCAAAATTTTAAAAGGTTTAGTCAGCCTATGTCAAGCAGCAACTGAGTACAAAGGTTGTAACTAGAAGAGATAATTGTTTGTTTTGCTTCTTTATTTACTGTTCTATGTTTTAAGAAAAATAAGTTTAAGAAATTATTTCTAAATAGCAATCTATATACATATATAATGTATAATAATTGAAATATGACTATATTTTACAGAATACTAGTCTACTAAAACACACCTAAGACAGGTCACATTGTAAAGACTAAAAGTCAGTTTTATATTATTTGATATGGTAACATGAGTGCACGTGTGCCGTGTCATTGTAACTTCTATTTGTTAGCCAGACATGGCTGAAAGGTCAATTTAATAAAAGGTACAGAGATTCGTTACTGAAAATAACAGATAAAATATAAAGTTTTTTCTTAAGAAACATTTCATAACTATCTGGACATTATAAAGATTTCGCATTTGAAATTTGAAAATTTTCTGATGCACAAAAGTATTTTTAATCTTAAAATGAAAATTACTTTGAATGTTTGATAGGCAACATCCAAAAAGAAAAAAAATGCATGAGAAAAACATAGCTTTACAAACCTTAGAATTTAATATAAAAAAATTAATGTTTTCATATGCAAAATATCATAATGTTTACTGATAATTTGCCAAATTTCATTAACATACACTTACTAATTTAAACGTTTTAGCATGAAAACTATGACAAGCACAAAATGGTTGAGGTCGGTCCCAGGGACTGAGCCCATGCTGAAAGAGTTAAAATGAGCTAAAAAAATGTGTGCTTATTAATACAAGTATCTTTTAGAATGTCATTTCAAAGTATACATATTAAAATACAAGAGAAAGGCTTAACCATCTTGTTACTATGTCTGTCCTTTAGGATATATCTGTAATGAACCACTGATTGAAGTTAATGACAATGAACTGTGTATACATTGTTCAGTGTTTCTTATTAATTTTCAGTATTCTACAATAAATCAGTTAAGTTTCTCACTAGTACTTTTTTGTCTTTTGACCTGAACAAATTTCTGAAGAACTTACTGGGTCAAATAAGAAAAAAAAAACATTACCCCTATTCAATGATTAATTGGAAAATATTTTGAGACCCATTACAAGAAAATCCAATAAAAGCTAGAGGTAAAAACTTTAGATATTTGTAATGAACTTTCCCCAATTAAAACTTTTTCTTAATAAAACTCGTGAAAAGAAGACACTTTTAGCTGAGCATAAAATAAAAATTGTTTAAAAAGTTTAATCATAAAAGAATAGCTATAGGAGCTAAAAATATCTTGAAATGGCTTAAAGTAAGAATAAGATTTTTTTCAACATCCGGATATTAGGCTTAGAAACCAGAAGCTACAGAAAGTTTCCATTTTTATATGTTTCTTGGTGTACAAACAAGAGAGAGACTGATCTGCTCTGCTCGAAACTGCATAAGAAACCTGTTAAACCTGAAAATCACATTGATTCCTGTTAACTATGACTAGTCTTATTGATCTTTGAAACACAGAGTTATAATCTTGATTAGAATTTGTACTTAACAAAATATTTTTATACATCCGAGAACTTTCAAAATACTTTAATTTTCATTTAAATTTGTTTTAGTTATTTTTATTTACTAAAAGACAGTCAACCTCATTTCATACAGAAAAATTACTCAGTCAGCCATCTGTCCTTTACACTGCCAGTGCAAGTATTAGCAAGATATTTAATATTTGTAATAGTTATGAATATACAGAATCTTTTACATATGCAGGTTTTTAAAAAATTTTAATATATTTTTACACTTTACCAAACACTGTTTAGTTCATTAGCCCTCAGCAAGTTATCTAAAAACTTGGAACTTAGTTTTTATTATGGTTCTTTATTTACAATCAGATCTTGAAACTAATTTGTATTGGCTACTGACAAATGTTCACTTTAAAAGCTACTAGCAAAAATGCTGAACATGCTGGCAAAAAAGAGGGGGAGGGATGTCTCATCAGTTGGATACCATTAGCAGTTGTAACTTGTAAACTGATGTGAATTTCCAGGAAGCATCAAGTTTTTGATTTAATATTTTTCAATATACTATAAAATTTTAGATCTATGTTTGTGATGATAATTACAAGATGATAAAAGAGAACCTGAAACCCAGCTTGACTCTATACTGTTTTTACTTGCAATTTTAAACTTGGGAAATTCCATTGAAAGATGTATGAAAATAATGTGCAACCAACTCCTGGAAAAGGCTTATCGCTCAATTATCATAGTGTGTCTTTCTCATAAGCATTGTGTTGAAGTCAGCTTTGTTTTTTCAAGTAATTTACCCATTGTTTACAACTGATACCAGTATTTATAATCATGCTTGGATTATCAACTGACAAGAAAATGCCAGTGTCCCTTGATAGTCACTGGCTAAACAGTAGAACCTACAGGCCTTTTGCCAGCTAGTCACTATTTATTTCTAGCTCTGTTTATAACCCACAGAAACCGAGGAGAAGAGTTTAATATGTAGTTTCTCTTTAGTTTTCAAACTCGTAATTATGTTTGTAACTCGCACACTTTACTGTCAACAGTCACAAGTAGATGCTAATTATATAAGTGCTTAACATTTATGGTCAGGACAGTTTTTCTATTTCTTTACTAGTTAGTGTCACATTTTGTGGCTGCATTACACTGACACTTTTACTAAATAAATTAGTCACTTAGTATGGGTAAGTTGGTGTTCTTTTAATTGAGCCGCTTGTAAATGTTTTGATCAGCATTTAATCATTTTAAATTTTCTTGTTCTGACATATTAACTTGTCTATTGATTATTTAAAATGAGTATTTTAAAACATGTTTCGAAGTTTGTTTGTTTTTCCTATAAAAATCCAAAACATTAAAGTACAAATGGTTATGTTGCCATTTTTAATTTACAACATATAAGAATGAAACTTTTCATCTAGATTAACCACGTGATATTCAGTAGGATTAAACAGCGGTTATCTCCAGATATCCAATACATATTCTGGTGTTTTATACTTTACAGGAATCTGTTTTAAATGGATGTTTAGAGCCTGTTAGTACAGTGGAAGGCTTTACTGCAGAGATTGGTGCTAGTGGATCATTCTGTCCACGTCACAGAACTCTTCCAGTCACTGTATTTTTCTATACACTAGAAGGAACTGACAAAGTAATTTCTCCATATCTGGTAAGTATCAAAAACATTGTTATTGCTTTAGTACTGGACCAACACAGAGAGTTCCTGTATACTAGGATATGTCTTACACTGTTTAGGAACAGATAATTGTAGCTTGAATGCAAGATTTGCAAAACTCGTATTTTTATTGGAACCATAGATAAAATAGATTGTTGAATATTTTGTACACGTGCAACTGTATATAATCAAAAGTTGTAAAAGTCCTTAAAAGATGGGGCTACTGGACATGTAGCATCTTGTTTAAACGTTACATAGGGCAAAAATAAATAGTTTGCACTGGCAACATCTCCTATATAAAACTTTACTAATATATGAGCTATATTTCTTATATTTTTCACAATTCTGTGGTTGCAAAAAATTGATACGTAATCATAGTTCTAATAAATTATTTTTTAATACAACAACATATAGGAAAGAGAAATTAGTTTGGCATTATTTTTATTTTTTGTGTTCGTCTATTAAAAATTTGTGATGTTTAGTATATTTACTTGCCTTACTGAAAATACATTTTCATGCTCAACATCATGGGTACTGGACCAACACAGAGTTATTGTATACTAGGATATATTTTACACTATTTAGGAACAGATAATCTTACCTTGAATTTAAGATTTACAACACTTACATTTTATTGGAAGCATTGAAATATGTAATTTTATTTTTTGCATACTTTAATTTTCCTGAACAATTGTTCATTTTCATTACTGGCAAAAGTCATAGCTTCCATAGCTGTGAGATTGTAATTGTTAAATGAATGGTAGTTTGTGGTATTTGATTATGCTAGTTAAGAAGTTGTTTATATAATTGGTAAATGTCAAATGTGTTGCCATTATGCCTGTTTATTGTTGATCTCTGCCTAGTACTTTTCAACAAACATCTTTTAGCCAGTAATATATGTGTTAAACTGTTTAACATCTTCCTGTCAAGTGGAAGGAATAAAAATAATTTAATTCTTTTGTTTTTCGTATTAAATGATTTGCAATGATATTTAAATGATATTCCTGACACATAAAAATATAAATAAATAAAAATACTACTTTATGGCCATGACAAGATTATATGTGAAAAAATACAAATTCAGTAGAATAATTTCAGTTGTTTTTCATATTTCTTAAAATCTTACTGAAGAAACAACAGTGTACTTTTCGTTTAACATAGTTTAATTTTCATTCCACGTTCAATAAGGTAACCTGTAAACAGCATTGCAGTAAGATTTATTATTGACAAAAAAGAAAACTATTTTGGCAAAAGTGTTTTCTAAAATATTTAACATGTATTTCTAGTTTTCACTGAATGATGATGACGATTTTCTTCAAAATGTTTAGTTGTTTATTTTTTTAAATTATTACTATGAATTCATATCCCTAAAAAAGTTTCTTTTTATTGATGAATATCTCAGAAGTTTTTATCGTTACATTTAGGGTCATATCGGTCTAGGAAGGAAAGGTTATCACGTTCCAAAACAAGGAACTGTTCAAGTGGTATGTGTTTATTCTTTGTCAGGGTTTATCAGGTAACAGTTGCTGTAAATTAATATTGGAGTTTGTTATTAAAATTAAGTAAGAACTTGCCATTTTATCTTTTATTTCACTAAAGCACTAAACAGATCAATTATATTAGTGGGTTCTATTTGTGAAAAGTCGTACAGTTTTTTTTCCATGAGATTTGAGTTTGTTCTAAAAGACACTGTTAAGAAGAGAAACAGCTCAAAATGATCTGTCAACTTGTGTATTATTAAGTATGGTAGTATTTAATAGCAGGGATTGCCATGGTTTCCAAATAATTCATGTACCCTATTGAATTGCTAAGCGAAAAACCGACCATTCAGAGTACTGGTTATGATATATTATGTACACATATAGTAATAATATGCTAAAAAGGTTGCTAACATTTTTGGTATAACAATTCAAAAATTCCTAAAACATCAACTTTTTTTTGTCTACTAACATTAGATGGTTCAGACTATTGCTACAAAATTTCTCCAGCTTACTTGACTGGTGTTGGGTATCTGTTTTATATATATATATATATATATTTTTATAAATGGTAAACATATCATGCATGTACTTAAATATAATTAACTCCAATATAAACCAACAGATGGAGCCATATATCGATTGATAAACACATGGTAGTTTCTAAAGATAAAAGTAATCAAACAGGAGTATTCAAAATTATGAATTTTAAAATGAAGTTGTGATCATTATATAAAACGCAACGAAACCACAATTAAAACTACAATCACGAATTTATAAAATTTAATCCCTTTTTTGTCAGCTTTATAGACTTATCTGTAGGCCAAACTAAGAATTATGCTATAAATTTGTGACTGGTGTTAATTCTTTGGGAATATGGATGTACTAAAAGCTTATAGATGTTGTGTCCATTCCATAGACATATAAAAACTCGACAAATAAATAGGAAAAAAATTCGAATTTTAACAGAAAGTAGGGATCGTTGCTGCAACAAAAAAAATAACAATTAAAGTTATAGTAGTTGGATACATTTTAAAACGATTTTCAATCCCTACTTTGGTTGTCATTGTGATCGATATAGCTAAATGAAGCAGTCTAAATTTGGGTAGTTGTGCAGTTAGTGTAAATTATTTTTTTTTTTTATATATGTATATTATAAATTGTTCTTTGCTTTCTTATATTGGCATTTTCTAATAAATGTTTGTAATGCCTAGTAATTTTTTTAAGACTTTATTCAATCCTCATCAAACTGTGGTCAAGATGTTTGTGGTGAGGTATAATTTGTCTGACATGCCACCACATTGCCAAACTTTTCTGCGTCAACGAACACTGCACATGCCAGTAGGAGCTTCTCAAGATGATTCTGAAGCTCGAAAGTGGCTAAGATACCTCATACATCTCAGGTGTGTGAACTGATCATTTTCTGGAAATGATTTAACTAACAGACCTTTACGATGTCTTTACAATAGCAAATAGACTTGTTGTAATTCTTGTATTACTATACATTTAGTTATATTCCAAAAAACACACCACAAAATCATCTTGCAGACAAAAAGTAAATTAATTCTTTTCCCCCTTTATGTTTTTTTTAAAGCATATTTGTTTAAATGTAAATGTGGCTTAATTCACATATGGTTAGTATACATGTGTGTGAAGTGGTCTCAATGAAAGTATAGCCATTTGAAAATTGCTGTTGAGCTAACCAGACCAAAAGTTTGAAATAGACATTGGAACATAAAACACTTGAATGAGGAAAACTATAGATTTTTGTTCTTTATAGATCTGGGATTCTCATACTGTGGTACGTGGAGTTTATGGTGGTGATACAAAATAAATGATTACTGTAAAAATTGTAAAATATGTAAAAAGCCCAATTTGAGTTTCCTGCATAGCTATGCATACTCTACTCCTTACTTCTAGACTTGCCCTTTGCCTGCATAGGCTTGTCAGCATTTTCTTCCTTTCAAACTGACAAAAATCACACCTTCAATGGTGGCAGAAAAATATTATCACATCCTCCCCATTAATGGGTAACTATTAAAAATATTAATATTTTGCTCCTAGGTGTGTTAAAATTAGGTCTTGATGGTACTAGAAAAAAGAATGTTTAAACAAAAAATGGTGTGCAAGCCTGAAATGTTTGAGGACCACTGTTATAGGTGAATCCAATTGTGAATTGTGCGACAACAATCAAAGATCATTTGTTTGGCAGTAGATATGAGAATGGTATCACAGTTAATATACAACACATACAGTGAAGCATGGTAGGAAATCAGTATGTTTTTACCAGTATCTCAGCCAGTGCTCGACAAAAAACTGATGGCACCCTGTCTGGTGACAAGTCCTGATACATCATGCCATTCCCCTCAAGAATATATCTCATTTGGTGAGGATTCATTTTCCAACAAAACAATGATCCCAACCATTCAGCAAATATGGTGAAACAATGCCTTAACAGTAAATGAAACACTCGCATCCATCACTTGGCCTGCACAAATTCCCAATATAAATTGTTTTTTTAGGCTGTTTGGGCTTATGTGAAATAGTAACCAAACAATTTTGCTTAATTCGGGGGAGTAATACAGGATACTTAAAACGGTATTCCACGATCATACTTTGATAAACTATACGACAGCATAAAAACAAGGTGTAATGCTCAGGATGGGAAGCATAGGGTTCACATGCAAAATGTTTATACAACTTGTTCACTTCTCTTTCATATTTTCTATGATAATATTTTGTACCAATAAGAAATTAATTATCTATTCAATAGTATTCCTGAACACGACACTCGTGTGTTTCCATGATTATTTCCACTACTATATGTATGTATGTATGTATGTGTATTTGTCTTCATGTAGCACTCACCTATAATATATAATTACTACAAAGATCAACTGATAGCTTGACATGTAAAATTATTAGTGGTCACTGGTACATGAAATCTACATAAAAGTAAACATCTACTTTCTTACAGGATTTTTCAGTTATACTTAATGCATGCAGTATTGTAATTTCTTATACATATAGCATAAATTTTTCGTACTTTCTTTCAGTAAGTTTGCCATAATGTGCCTTTGTATCTTGTCCATTACTCAAAACATTAAAACTTAGCATATCATACTCAATGAAGTCCATGAATTGTACTTGCTGCATGCATGAAGTTTATAAACTTTTGAGCGTGCACAAAAGCAATGGAAAAATACTTTTAATATTCTTTAGATTAAGAAATCTACATTAAGAATTATAAAGTTTATATTTCTCTAAAGAGTTTCTTTATATGAATTACATTCACCTACAAATTAATGATTTCCTTAATTCTGTTTCATTATTATTATTATTAGTAGTAATAGTATTATGTCACTGTTTTACAAGTTTAAAGTGTTTTGGTAATAACCATAGCTAACATTGAATGATCCAAATAGTTCTATTTCACAGTGGTAGGCTGGATGTGTTTTCTGAAGAACATTTTTGAGATTATGTATACTGGTTAGATTGTTAGTTATCTTGAAAATTTGCAAGGACTTGCATTTGATATATGTTACAGTATTTAATTGTTTAACAGATTTTATAGTAATAAAAGTAGACAAATTTTCCAATCTAATTTCGAACAGGTTTGCTAGTTCAAAATCGGGACGCATCTACCTCCACACCGATGTGCGTCTAATTATCTTCAGAAAGAGTGATGTTGATGCAGCCACTGTTCATGAAGACAAGCCATATGAACTCAGATCTTTCATTCAGGAGCCTTTAAATCCAAAATTTTCTCCTCGCAAATAATGGTAGTACTTTATAGGATGGTCTTTTATGTGATTTTATAAGAGAAAAAAAAATGATTTTGTACATATATATTTACATATATATCTATGTATACATATATATATTTGTTGTTTGATTAGACAGTGTGGTGTGAATCATGTTAAAGGTATGTTTTTAAAAATATATGACAAAAAATATTTCATTATTTATTGTACTTTTAGAGCAGTCTCAATAAAGTTAAACTGAAAAAAATCAAATTGTATTTCTTGTGTGCTGCATGCATGTTAAATAGCATTGTTTACAAACTAAAACAGATTTAATAATATTCAGGAAATGCACAACTTTAGCCTAAAGATTTAAGTTTATTTCTGTTTTATTTTGTTACTTTGATACTGTTATGACATAAATTCTAATGAAAAGCTGTTTTGTACACTAACCTATGGTGCACAATATTAAAAAAAATAGTTGCTTTAAGTACTTTTTTTATAACTCCAAAGATTTTGAATAGTACATGAAAAAATTGTTGCAGTAAAAACTGCCAGCAAGTGGATGAATAGCATGGTGAAATACTTGTACAGAAGTGTTTACTTTAATGATTTTACTTTTTTCCATATAGCCATACTACAGTGTTTGATTTAAATCTCTCTCTCTCTCTGAATTTTACCATTAAGTCCCCCATCTTTTTCACGCTAAATCACTTAACCCTTTCCAGATGGGTCACGGGTGAAAGGCCATGTCATTGCGTTTGTTGACTCACATTCAAAATTTTGTCAATAAGTTTGGTAACTGTAGATTATACCTTACTCAATTTTTAATTTAATATTAAAAACACAGTTAAGCATCTATGTTTGTGTGTCACATGGTATGTTGAATGCAGCACTGGTTCAAATTAGATGTTTGATGTCAAAATACTAAGTCTATAGTTTCGTTTCAATTAGGAACTCAAATTACCGAAATTAACAAGCTAGAATATAAAATGAGAGCCTCCTATCTTTTTCTATTTTCTGAGATATTATGAAAACAAAAAAGAAAAAATGGGAAATGTATTTTGAATAAATTGAAGTACAATGATTTTAAACAGGAAAGGGATAATCAAATACAGTACAATTCTCTTCATGGTTATTTATGTTTTGGCTTTAAAATTAAAATAAATTAAAGTTGGCAAGACTATGTGGCAAAGATTCAGAGGTAAAATGGAGTGTTATATTTATGACTGTTATTCACATACATACCTCTCATATAAGCCCACCCTCCCTATCCCTGAGGAACATGGGAAAAAAATGTAACAAGGTAGATTAAAGTAAAAGAATTTTTAAATGGTTAATTGTGATTGGCTTAGAATTCTTCCAGTAAGGATTTTTTTAACACATCAAGTTTGAATTTATACTACTGTTCTGTTAATACCAATTTTCAGGTAAGTGAAACCCGAGAGACCTCTGGTTTTTTGAGCACACATGAAAACAATCAAACATTTTCTTCTTCACTTGTACTCTGAGAATTCAAGAACTTACATGCAAAATTTCAAGTAATTTATGAAAAACTCGGGAGAAGTTCAAAAATCGAACAAATATAGATGGTATGAAGATGTGTTACATAAATGTCAGTTATTGTGTCCATTACCTTAAAACTATATGAAGTAGTACGAGTTAGCACATCAAAATTAATTGTGTGAATATTGATAAGTAATACAAGTTTTAATGCTTATTTTATTAGTAAAATTTACTACCAAAAGCAGAAATATAATCTTGCTTTTTACAGCCAAAGTAATTTCAAAGAAAAAAAATCTTTTAAATTTTTAAAAGTTCCTATTTTTATATGGCCTTCCAATATATAAAAATGTAATTCACAGACAAAGAGATTATTGAAGCTTCCTTCTTCAACACGTTGTGCTTTTTGACTCATCATTGTTTAACAATCTTGTTCTATGAATATCATTCCTCGGAAAGAGTTGTGATATCATACTCCAGCTATAAGTCTATCTGTAACAATATAACACTTTTGAATGACCAGGAATTAGCAATGAAACAAACATAAGGATTCTAAATATAACCATGGCTGGCAGCTCGCATCTGTGGCTACAAGACAATACATTATTAGCATATGCAATTCATCCTTATAAAGTTTGGTTAACACAATTAACCCACTATGTCTGTACTGATGTAAAATGAGTATCAATAATATGGTTGCTAAATGGTTATATCAACAACTTATGTATTAAGATCTGAACACTTAGGAGCTGAATTGTTATTTTGTATAGGAATTCATGCCTAAGCTGATAATTTATTAGCTATTTAGATGAATTGCTCTATTACTTTTCTTAGTGGAAACCTTTACAGGTACAACAAAGAATAACGTGATAAAAGTATTATCACACAAACCAAGTGAAACATTTTGTTGTTGTTTTGTAAGACCTGTCCATACTGGTCAAAATCACCAGTACAGATTTCTGTATACTGAAATCTCTTACCAAGGTTTTTAAATTTTCCAAAGAATAAATGCACCTTCTACTGATTTTATAAATTGTTTTTATTTGTATTGCACTATTGGAAGCCTCTTATGCTTTTACGTTTTGGAATATTAATTTACTTCAGCAGTTTTAACTTTTATTATTTCAAATGCTGTTGACTTTAAGTCTCAAACATTTTACCGTTTAATACACAGTTTTCAGTTGGGGAATAGATACACTGAAGTTATGGAAATTAACAGAAAACATTTTCTAAAAGAATCTGAAATAGATTTTTAATGATAGATTACTAACATAATATTTAACCATATAAAGTTGTAGAATTACGTTATTATTAAGAAGTTCAGAGAAACCTGAACTACAAAGCTTAACCAAGCTGAAACCTAATTATGTGGTACAAATGTGCAGCAATAGGTCCTGCCAAAGCAATTTTAATAATAAGAGTTGGACTTTTGCTTACCTTGTTTGAATTAATTTATATTTTTATGTTGCTGTTATGCAAATGCAAATCTTATTTTAAACTGCACATGCTTTGTCTTAGTTATTTTAAAATTGTCATCTAAAAAAAAAGTTATTATTGTTTCACGGTGCATCTTTGAGTTATGTAACATGGGTAGTGTTAGTTTTCATTTACCTTTTGCTGATGGTTTGTACAGATTTTCTACACATTGCAATGAATTAGTGATATATTCTATGCATGGAGTGATTCTGCAATTATACGATTAAAGTGCATAATGTGATAATTATCATCTTACCATCAGCAAATGTAACTAGCTGAGAAAGAGTGAGAGAGAGAGAAAGTAAAAATGTGAGAAATTTACTCCTGGATAATATTCTCACTAGAAACTGGATAATTACGATAGGATACTTTTTTCTAAGCATGAGACCTGAAAATTTCCAATTTGGCCCCAAGTGTAATAACTTCAGTTTTATGTTTTTCAGAAAAAGAATAAATAAAAATTCCTTGAATATTTAGTTGTTTATTACTGTAAAATATTTTGTGACACTTTATTAGTAGTAAGTTCAATATTAAACTGAAAAATTTTGTTCCATTTCAAATTGGCTTGGCAAGTATAGTGCAGTTGATAAAGCATTCTAATTGTGTATAATTCAGTTGAGGTACGTGAATCAAATCTACTCGCTCAGATCAGAGCTTTCATTAAAGGGGAAAGACAACATTTTTACTGATGTTTTAAAAGACTTTCTCTAAAGGCTTTAAGTACATGCAATACTTAACTATACTTTAAGTTGTTCGTATATAAATTATTTTGTTATACACAAAACAATTGTTAAAAAAAAAGACACAAAGGCACTTTTAGAAGATCTTTAATGTTTTTGTATAGTATTGTGAATGATGCATAAAAACCGTTTCTCTCACTGAATATTCTTGTAAAGTTTCCAAAAAGGTGAAACTTGTGCAGGCTGCTTAGAAATATTTTTATTCTATGCTGATGGTTTGTTTTCTTTCTGTGTTTTTATTTATTGTTCTAATAGTTTATACAATAACTGAATGGATATTACACTGAAAAACTTTGGAAATAGTAGGTGGGAAGAGACAGTAATTAATTGTTTGTTTGTAATTAAGCACAAAGCTACACAATGGGCTATCTGTGCTCTGCCCACCACGGGTATCGAAACCTGGATTATAGCGTTGTAAGTCTGCAGACATACCGCTGTGCCACGGGTGGGCCAGTAATTAATTGAAGAAATATTCAAGACTGCTATAACCATCAAAACTTTAACTAGAAAAATCTGTTTGTTACATATATTGCACAGAGGTGCTTGAGAACACTATCTTCAGAGGATTTCATGGTATGACAAAGGTGTTGTATTTATTTTATAAATAAATTAATTTTTTTAAATACACTAAAACAAAATAAATGTCTAGCTGATGTTAAATCTTGTCTCTATACAAAAAATAATGATGGAAATATGGCTTATGAAATTTTTTTGCTTCTAAAAAGTACTAACAGTGATGTTTTGTTCAACGTTGGAGATTATCATCTCAATTTCTGGTAGCACTATGTGACATGATTTGTCATCTATGATAATTCAAAGTTTTTTTTTGCTGAAATATTTTATTTCCGAGAGAAACAATACCAGCCAAATTATTCATTGTAAATTATATGTATCTTTTTTTTGCTTTACAAAACACAAATATCTCACCATGCATTTTTGTGTGTGGTATATTTATACAAAAGATAATGCAATTTCCATGGAAACGATAATGTTCTGCATTCACATATAAAAGCTGAAACTGTAATTATCTAAAAATTTATTGGCCTTAGGTAGAGAAATTATGAATACCTTTTACTCTGTTTCTTTCTTGTTTTTACATCAGTATCACTAAAATTGCATAAACTATTTGAAGCCTTTCTTGCAATCTTTCCTTGGTTGACAACATCTTCTTCTGAATGCATTTGCTTCTTTTTTATATTCCTTAAATCTTTCAAGTCAGACACTTGGTTCTTTTTCCTTTTTTTGTAAGGTTTATTATCTTGTTGATCCATTCCCATAGAAGTCTCTTCTCCATTCTGTAAGGTCATATATGCTTTTTCTTGTTCTTCTATTCTCTTCAGTTTACCATTCATCTGGTATCCATGTCTTGCTGCTCTACAAAATATAGTTAGTTTTTTTCATTTGAAATTTGGTCCTTATTTCAATAATGTAATATATTTTACCGAAACACACACTATCTTTCACCCTCTCTCTCTCTATGCATGTATGTATATATATAATTTTCAAAACACAAACGTTTAAATCAAAGTCTGTCTCTTCTACTTAACAGAATTAAAGAGCTACCAAAACCTCTTGCTACTGAAATGGTTGAAATTTCAGAATTACTTTCTACAGATTATGTAGCTTCTGTAAATAAAGTATCTTATTGTTATATGTGATATCTGAATGAGTTCACAGCTTTGAAATTCTGAAAAAACTGCATTGTGATACATTTATAAAAAATCTAATTAAATTATATTTTATAAAACTTTTAATTTTAGTTTTGTTTTGATTTGAAAAACAAGTTACACAATTTTGCAGTGTGTAAAATAACTGGTATATAATGAAAATAACTTTTTATCGTGCTGTGCCAAAATTATAAGCAAGACAACTTTTTTAAATGTTAAACCAGACTATTTGGTTTGATGTGTAATAAATTTTAACCAATTTATATTCATTTTATTTTTCTAAATTTCTTTTTGATAATTTATTTTACCCATTCAAGCAGTTATTTAGACTGATACAGCCTAATGCAATTGAAGCCTAATACAACAATACTGTTTTTGAAATAAATCTTGTTACAGTAAAGTGTAAATGGATTTAAGTAAGCCTATTTCATCTTGTTCCACATAAAACATTTCTTATCATATTTTCAACATCATAATTCAAATGATATAGCATGCTTTTTTTGCAAACTTTATAAAAAAACTCGGGACTGTTATTCTCTTCTAGCAACATATCATCACTTTTTCTGAATTCTATGCAAATCATGCTGAACTGACATGTTATTGCTTTTACAGTTCAAACAAATGGGAAAAAAGTTTTCATGACATGTATAGATCAGTAGCCAATGACTTTTTGAACCTGAGATATAGGCAATTACATCACACTATGATAACTGAAGTTGAGAAACAACAATTGGCTAATCAGTAAAACTACATTTATATTCTGGTTACAAGGACAAATTAGTGTTATTTTGTTCAAAACAATTATGAGTTGGGCTACATATTATCCATAGAGAAAACTGTATGGTAAACACTAAAAGTCACTTTACAATAAAGAAAGGTGTTCCATACTAAAAACAAATCATAAGAATGTGTGGAATTAAACAGAAATAACTTTTTTCTCCAGTACTTTAGCAGAAAAATCTTATACAATTCAGGATTAAACTTGTTTAAGATTAAACAACCACTAACAGCATGGTATAACCCTAAAGACAATAGAATTATATTTGAAACTTAGCCAAAATAAACTTTTGGGTTATTTACACAATGCATTTGTTAAATGCAAGTTTTACAGCTCATTTAATAAACGCAATATAGAATGAGACAAAAACTTTACATTTGATAACTTGTTCCCCACAGTAGGTCTCGAACTATCATCATTGACCTATAAAAAGATAGGAGTAACTTGCATACTTGTTAACCGATGCTTTTTGCCAGTTCTAGTGACAAAATACAAAGGGCCATTCCAATTTAAATGTGAATTTATCATCTAGTTTGTTTAGAAATTTTGTAACAAGTAGAAATAAAACAGTCATAAAAATAAAGAAGTTTCTATTTTTATGTCAATTATACAAGAAAGACAAATATATTATTTCACACAGAATTAATGCAGAGAATTTTGGTATGTTACAAGTACATACAAAAGAGATTTAAAACCAGTCAAAAGCCATTCCTTAGGAACCTAACTATCCTTCATATACATAAGCATTTTCTTCATCTTAAGATATAAATTTTTCAAAAGTCAGGTCATGGATTTTGATGCTGTTTGGCAAGGATGTTGGTGTCATGGAAATATAAAATTTCCCCAAGTTTCATGTCTATAGGTCAAATGGTTTTTATGTGAGAGATCACCAAATATTTGATTTGAAATGGCTCTCACATGAGACCAATGACATAATAGTGGCAATAAAGTTCTAAATTTTAATGTTACAGTAAAAAAAAGTAAATTATTGCCAAAAAGATTTATTTATGCTCTAGCCCAGTGGTTCCCATCCTTATCACCACCAAGGACCTCCTTTTATTATTATTTTTTTCCCCACAGATCTCATGAATAATTAACTTGTTTATCAATTTTTCACTATCAAATAAAAGACATATATAACTGAGTGTGCAATTAAAAAAACAGCAGAATAAAAAAAAAGTACTTGTTTAATGAGATTGTAATATCTTCGTGGACCCTCAGGGATCCGGGGACCACAGGTTGGGAATCACTGCTCTAGCCAAATAAGTCATTTTTATAACATTCAGAACTTTGACCTTAAATTGTTGACCTTTAACCTCACTTGTACTGTCTACCCCAATATGGATGACCAAAATCAAGATTAGATATTGAAGTTCACACCTTTTCTATAAGGTATTTCAAAAATCAGCCTAGGATCAGAAGATAATAAGTCATTACATTGTGTCATCGTAGTTTCACAGATGATAAACTTAGGAATAACTAGAAAAAAAAAAAAACTCAGAGAAGGAAAAGGTTCAGTCAGTCTGTAAAAATACGAATAGGACATCATGAAATTTGGTTGAATATCCTGCCCAAACAATCTATCAAAGAATGAATAGGACACCTCAACTAACAGTTCAGTGAGCTGATGCTGCATCATGTGAATATGAGTGAGATGAAAAACAGGTATAAAATGTAATTATACTTCTATGCATTTGTAGGAATTTCAAATTACATGACTCATGACACCATTTTTTGAGAAGAGACTCCTTACAGACCTGAAAACAAAGACTGCCTCAGTGATCATAATAGATGACCACAGAAGTTACATTCCTTTTGTACAGTTGCTGGATCCCACTCAAAATTTACCCTAAGGGGTTACTCTGCCCAAGGGATAGGAAAAACTGTGATAGTTAGCACCCTGAATGGGCTTATCCTAATGGAAGAATTTGCAAAGTATATTGCCTGCAAATACAATGGCAAGTGGTGGCCGGCTCTTGTTGAAGAACATCTTAAAGAAAGTGATGAGGTCATAGTCACGTTTTTGCATCCTGTTGGACCAGCATGAAGCTTTTATTCCCACAGCATCCATACATTTTGGTTGTGGGATGAGACTAAATTCTCCTGTTGGCAACAGTAAAAATGTAAAAGTTACCAGAGAAGGAACTAAAGAAGGCAACAATAATACTTAGAAAAGGTCATAAACTGAGTCAATATAGTTTTGCAATAAGTTGTACTTACCTCATCACATTAGCTTATCCATTATGTGTATGAACCAAAAAACCGTAGAAATCCCATGCTGTGCTAACATTACTATATTATTAAAAACATAAGTGTTTTCAGAGGAGCCCCTTCGCAAATAAATTAACAGTTGGTAAGTATTAGAAGCATCCTAAACACATTTTTACAGACTTGTTAAACCCCCTACTCTCTCTTAAGTTATTCTTCCTTTTTAGTCATTTCTACAAAAAATCTATCACCCATGAAACTACAATGACACAATGTAATGAGTGAATACCATCAGAACTTATCAAGATCCCAGGCTTATTTTTGAAATAACTTAGAAGATGGTGAGAATTTCAGTATCCAACTTTGATATTGGTCATCCAGACAGAACAAATGAAGTTAATGGTTAACAATGTATGGTCAAAAATCTGAATGTTAGAACAAATGGCATAAAGAGGTCTTTCTAGCATTAGTTTAAAAAATTTATTGGTACTTTTATGTCATTTGTCTCATCTAGGAGACATTTTGGGCTGAATACATGGTGACCTTTCACATAAAAAACATTTGACCTAAAGACATGAATCTTGGCTAAATCTTATACCTCTATATAACAGTTGAAAGAAGTCAGGTCAAAAATCTTTCTGAAGTGATTGATTTGGCATGGACTAACTGTGCCATACCAAACTCGCTTTCATACTCAAATGTTTATAAAATGATCAACCAAACTGGGGTAATGAGATCTGACAAATCTCAAAATTACAATTATCTGCTGTCCATGGTAGGGAAATTTATTATTTAGTATAAGCAGCAAGGTCTGAAATTTGTGTTGTTTTATTGGCTCTGACCAGCTAGGGGACCTGTGGACCAACTAGAATAGCAATAAAACTTAATCTGATCGAGCTAACAGGGAAATTCAGAATTTTAAGCACTTTTTAGCACATTCACAATAAAAAGTATTCTCTTTAGGTACAAACATTTTCATCTCAAAGATATTGTGTCTGTTAATGTGGTCTTTCTATTGGTTATAAACATCTAGCTCAACTAAGTATAATAGGCTAAGAAATTGCAACTCTATGTGTTGAAAGTGATCATGGCATCTGTCAAGAGTTCAGTGAAATGTATTTTCTTTTCTCCAAATGTGCCCTAAGGAGCATGTTCATACATCCTAAGAATGATGTGTGAACAGAGCAATTAACCTAGATTATATCTATTCATGGTAGGTTAGTGTACATCAAGAAGTATTCAAATTACAAAGTACAAAAGTTAAGTTTTTTGAACTTTTACATCTAACTGAAGTTTAAGAATTTTTCTTAGATAATATAAAACTTTGAACTATAATGTACATTTTAATGCTAATTTCACTGTCATACATTAATTGTAAGATTGCTTAATTGAATTTTGAATATAACAAAGTAAAATATTGTGACATACACAGAACAAGGGTGCCAATAACCATATATTTAAAAGATAAACGTTTTTGCAACGAAATAAAGATTTCAAATTGATATCTAAATAGTGTTAAAATGTTACTTTTATAAGATACTAGCGTATCGCCCCCCAAAATCGATGGGGCAAGTACTAGCATCCTCCACTCCATAGTATATCTTAATCTCACATTTCATGCCTAACTGAAATATGTTTTGCAAAATCAAGCTTGATGAACAAAGAGGAAGAAAAATACAGTCAAATATCTGTAATTTCCTTTGTGAGCCAATCAAAATTAAGATCATTCATGAAATTAATTCGTGGCATATTCATAGAATAATTATTGGTAAAAATCAGTTAGATTAATAACTTCTAATATATAGAAAAGCCAGTGCATTTTGGTAATGCTACTTTCCAACAATGGCTTTTATTTCATGTTCCTAAGCAAAAAAGTATAACGTGATATTGTTGTTAGTATATGTACCAAAGTATAAAATGAAATGTATAGACAACAAAATTGGATAAGCTATTTGTTGATTTCTTAATTTAGAGTCTCCGTTGATTAAATATGTTTGCTTTTTATTAAAAACGTTTGTGTTATAATAGAAAATAGCTTAATTCAGAAACGATTTAATTTAAAAAAAATTAAATCAATATTTTTACTCTCATGATAAATTTTGTGCAATTGGCTCTAGGCTAGATGATCCCACTCAATGTCTTTAATTCAGGCTTATTATACCGACAATCACTACACTTATTAGGTTTCATCTCACTCCCCCTTGCATCCCCACCACAAAAATCATAATGAGCAGATAGTAATCAAACTATTCTATCTGGATAAATGCATCTTGGCTTTTATGACTCCTCCTATTTCAAGAAATCAATCATGATGTAATGTGACATACACTGGCTTTCATATAGGCTAGATTATATTAGTTATTTTGATATTTATATGTTTATGTAGATACTGATGATACCCAAGCTTTTAAATATTATTTACTGATTATTTTGAATTAATTTTTTGTGCTAAATAATTTTTCACTCAATTCACAGTAGTAAACCACCATGGTACACATTGATAAAATAAATGTGTTTGACTTTACATAATTCAACTATTCTATTACAAAATACAAAACTAGATGTACATATAAGAGATACTTACTTGTGGGCAGTTCTTCCTTTACACTTTTTGAACATATCTTCATCAGTTTCTCTGTATAAAATGTTAAAGTGGTATTTTTTTATAACATTTCAAAGTTTTAGCTTATCTTGGTATGTATAATTATATCTTTTTTCATCAATCTTTAAGTGTATCTTGCATTTAATCAAAAACAAAAATAAAGACAAAACTATAAGTATATTCCCAATATAGTGTTTTTAATTCTTAGACATTTTTGAGTTCTTGTGTATGTTTATCATCATAATATATTTTTTTTAAATATTATTTTGGGGTTATAACTAATAAACAACCTTGGTATTAATATTAGTCTCAGTTTTAAATTGTCACACCTAATCACTGCCAATAGATTTACAGGATATTTAAGTACACAAACTAGATCTCATCTTATGAGGTTTGATGTTAAACACGAAGCTGCACAATGGCTATCTGTGTTGAGTACACTTTAGGTATTAAAACCAGATTTATAGCTGAACCACAAAGGGTCACAGAGATGAAAAAAAAAAGCAATCAGTTTTTTCATTTAAAAACTTTTTTTGTATTAATTACTAAAAATGATATTTACCTGGAAATTAATTCCTCATCTTCACTCTCATCTCCACAGCTAGCACATGGAGTAAATGTACTGTCATTTAATGTACCTACCTATACATAAACATTAGTAAGTTTATAGATATACATTAACAAGTGTCAAAACTTACTATAACAAAACAATATCTGTAAGGTTACCTGTAATATCAATTCAAATCTTTAGTATTTTTTCTTCATAACAAACAAAATGTTTTCTAAAATTTGTTACTATTTCTCCATAACAAATAGTTCATCCTGCTCTTTTAGTAAATCAGAGATGTATTCAAAATCTTAATTGACATTTATTTTACAAAATTACACTTATTTATATGAACTGTAAAACATGAATTATGTAGCAAATTATTAGTGTAAGTGAGAAAATATTATTTTGAAAATGAATGCAAAAATTCTACATTATAAACTGAGGTACAATATTTGAAATTAATACTCGTCCACACAACTTTTTTTCTCTAAAAAAAACTATATTTCTATTTTGATATTATGTGAACAACTCACCGAGAAAGCATAACACCTAACTCAATATCATAAACATTAATTTACTGTTGACAAAAATTCAATGGTGTACCCAAGCAAATTTAACTGTCCTCATCTATTAAAACTCTCCATTTTCAAAAAATTTTTTATACTGGTTACTAATACATTATCCATACAAGTCTTAACACTTATAAACAATGAACATTTAAAAACTATGGCACCTGTTAATTTGGCACTAAAACATTAATTAAACAAGAATTTATGTTTCAATAAGCAATACATAAATGAAAATATGAAACGTATATTTTATGTGTCAATAAAATAATATCTTAATTTTAATATGTTAAAGTTAAAAGCTAAGACTTTTGAGCTTAATAATCAAACTTACTCTGATATGATTTGTTTTTACAGATGTCTTTTTAAATTTTTTTTGCAATAGATAATAAGTGTTTTAAACTTTTTTTTACCTTAATGATCAAAATCTGATGTCATGTCTACAACCATTTCAAAATTAAATGAAAATGAAGTTGTTGCACATAGTTTGAACCAGTCACAAATTTTATTTGGCTAAATTTAGGCTGTTCAATATTTTCTAATTTATTTAATGCAAGCAAGAGTTAAAAACAGTACATTTTCTTCAACTACTTTAATTCTTTTATTTAAATAACACTTCAGTAATTATCCCAGACCAAAAATTAAATAATAATAATACGTCTTACCCACTAAAAATGTGCAAATGTTTAACGATGATTGATAAACTTTCTTGTAATGTTCAGAAAGGGAAAAAAGAAATTTAATGTAATAGCCAGTGACAGATTAAGGCTTGGGTGGTTTGGGCAATTGCCAGGGTCCAATGGTCAAAGGGGGCCCAAACAGAAACGAAGAAAAAATTATAAATCAGATGAAATTTATAAATATCTTATTATGTTCACTCTCTGAATATGGGCTTGGTCCCAGGGACTGACCAAGTAACAATTTGTACTAATATATAGTTTTAATACTATAACTTTGAATACAGTATGTATATCTTCACAAAATTTGGCAGACACTTAGTAAACATTACAAGTCATTTGTACACAGAAAAATCATTCTTTTAATGAAGTATTTTTACTAAAGATTCATCCATGAATATTTATGGTCTTTTTTTTACTAGTCCGAGAGCAAAGTAATATTTCTATTGAGATTAAAAATACTTTTTTCATCTCAAAAGTCTCAAATTTCAAAAATATAATCTTTAAAACCTCCTAAATAAATTTCAAATATTATAATAAGTAAACCTTCATCTTTTATCTGTTATTTTCTCCACCCTAACTCTATTTGATAGACCTTGTAACCACAAAAAAATCAAAATAAATCTAAGTTACCCCTTTTCTCTTTCTAGAATGACTTCAAGTTGTAACACGAAACTACATTTTTTTAAACCTAAATACTTATAAATTGTGATGGATTTACTACTTTATATTTATTTTAATATCAATATTAATTTAGGTTAAATTTATATTGAGAAATGTACACAACTTATACTGTTAAATCTTTATTGTGAAATTTCCGCCTATTCTCTAAAGTTGTAGAAGATTCTAAAGTGTAAGAATCAACAATATATGTGTCTACGTAAATACTAGTGTAGCATCAGTATTGTTACGCTGAAATTTTGAGAAACTCTCCACACGCCTATAAATATAACCAGTGCGCCATGCCAAAAAACAGTATCTATTATTGGTTTGATATAGTTGGTATACTATGAACTTCGGAAGCTATAACTGTGATTTTTATAACAATTATTAATTGGGAAACTGCAAATCAGGAACATTTATAAATTTCTAACATTACAAAACATTTAACTTCAGTGGATTCACATCGGACATTAATACTTTTATGAAAACATTACCTAACATCATCGATGGAAAAATCAGCATGTGATCAGTGAAGACCACAGAGCCAGCTAGCTCCATATTAAGTGAATTGTACTTATGTCAACTCGAAATTAACTCGCTCACCATGAAACCCTGGATAAGATATCAAGGAAGTTCCAGACTAGAAAGAAAACTTTATACTGCTTGTAAGTTTGTAAAACTTTTGTATATAAATCATTGTTTGTAATAACTATTTGTAATAAAAAAAAAGAAATTGTGTGTATCAGTCTTGTTGGCAAATATCATAAATTGGGTATATATCAGTATTTATTTAACTAATTAATCTAAATTACAATTTAACTCAGTTTTAGGCTATTTGAAATTGTAATATGTAACAAAACTGATAACAGTATACATCTATTTATACTTAAATTTTATTGCCCTTTGAACAGTGTAAAATCACTACTGGGCCGTTATAAGTTATAAGTCACTGGCGAAATGTGCAGCTCATGTTATGCTCTCGAATTATACTACACAAAAAGTACACGCAGGCATACCTCGTGAAAAGTTTCTATTATATTTTTTATTATTTTTACTTAATCTAATCTTAAATAACTTAAAAAGTTGAATATCAGAGAACAAAGTTAAAGAAATTCAATGACTGAAATGTTGAACTATGTGGTCATAGCGAGTATAGTTTAGTTTAGAAGCGTGTCCAGCTGTGCAACTGTCACCATTATGAGAGAAATGCAGAGAATACCATAAAATCACCAAAGGATAAATTCAGAATGAAGTATTTTTTGTTGTGGTCGACCAACTTGTCACTACATTGAAATATCATCTTGATGCATATAAGGATGTTCCACCAAATTTGGATTCCTTTCCAATTATCATCTCTTTCATGTCAAACTGTGAAATGTCTTGTCCATTTTTTTTTCTGAATGATGTTGAAACCGGGATATAAAATGAATTGATCCAGTTTTCCACATTGAAAATTCCAGAGCTTCAACATTCGTTCACACAATCTGAACCAACATAATCAGTGGAGTTAATAATGTTCCATAGACTCGCCCTCATCCAAACATTTCCTGATGTTGAGATAGTGCTGAGAATATACTTGTCCATGATGGTATCAAACTGTAGCAGGGAGCGATCGTTTTCGAAATTGAAACAAATAAAAAAATAAGCTCAGGAATAGAATAGGACAAATCCAACTAAACAGTCTGTTTATAATGAACATAGAATGTGACATATTTGAAAAGCTAGACTTTTCGAAACTCACTGACGAGTTTAGTTATAATAAAGCCATCGAAAGACAATTATAGGTTTATACAGGTACATGCAGGTTGTAATAAAGTTGTCTTTATGATAATTCATGAGTGAATAAAATGTGTTTGCACATGTATGTGGTTTGTCTATATTGTTTTCAGTGTTACAAGGCTGTGTATATCATTATGTATCTCACGTGTCTATGCTTAACATTATGATTTTGACAGTAAAGCTGATTCAGTTTGCTAGAGATCAATATATCTATGATGGAAAATAGGATGTCTTCTCCTACCACCCAGGGCCCAAGCCATCCTTAATCAGTCACTGATAATAGCAATATTAAAATCACCATAAAGGGAACCACTAGAGTTCTACCCTAATGGAAAAATCAAATTGATTTTGAATAACAAACTATACATTAGTAAGTTAGAAATGAAAATTCATGTAAAATAACAGCTACACAAATAATTTTGCACATTGTATTTTGAATAACCATGTATTATATTTACAGTCTTTTGGTCTGAAGTTCATACTAGCCAAACTATGATGATTATTCAGAGTATCTGTAAACTAAACATAACATTTCATCCCATTGATGAGATTAATGGCATCATGGTAGGCTTAAATTGTACTAAATTAGTTTTTATAAAATACTGTGGAAAAGAAACGTAACATTTTCCTTACCTGAAAATGTATTTCAGATAGATACTCACCTTCCTGCATCACAAATAGCTATTACTTCACACACACTCCCATAAAAGTTTCTGCCCATGCCACAAGCCTTAAATGAAGCTCCCACCCCTACATGTGGTAACTTGTACTGTGTAATCATTACTAGACTACAGCTCTCCATCAATAGAAGGGCAAAACATCCTCCATGTGCAGTAATCCCCATAAGCACTAGCAGGTGAACAAAGGCTCATTCTTGACAAGGCAAAAAAAAGCATTGTAAGTGGGGAGGAAGAAGTGGTGTAAAGAGGTGAGTATCTGAAATGTTAACTTCAGAAATGCTACTACACACCACAAAGAGCTAGAATCACACATTGAAAATGGTGGAGCGGTGATGCAGAGAAATTACAAGATGAGCATTAATGAAAGCTGCATCAAAAAGGGAAAGCCAAGAGAGTGATATCCATGAAGTGAAAGACAGCATAGTTGGGGGCAGCACCTGGTGTGAGACCACATCCACCTTAAGCAAGGAATATTCTTTACCCAATAGAGGTGGTAGAGCATAAGATTTGTTCTAAAGATCTTTGCTAAGTTCTAATATGTCACTAAGATGGGTAGAATGACAGATTGCTCAACCAATCATTATCTAACAGGCAGACAGTTGAGCATGAGTGTGTAGTGTAGCTAGGGCTTTTTGTAAGGTCATTCCATACTGGAGAAATAAGTGTAGTGAGTAGCATCCCAGACCTGTTCTCCGAGATGAACCCAAGAACCTATTATGGAACTTTTATAAAGGTAAGTAGCAAAACAATTGTCACAAGTTGTTAAAAAAATGTAATTAGTTTAGTGCAAAATTACATACAAAATTATTGTAAGTTAATTCCTCCCAAATTAGATAAGTTAGTGCAAGGACCCAAGATTTCGCCCATCCTTCCCTCAATCTTCTAGATTTGTTTGCACTTAAGGCTAGAGAATTGCCCTAAAAAAGTGTCAAAATTTAATCAAGTAATTTTCATTTTTGTCATTGATTAGCTTCATTATGATATAGGACTGTATTTATATGAATATCATTCAAAGCTAAAATGTCATTCTTGACCAATTGTGTATTAATTTGAATTAAACCAACTCCTGAATTGTGGAACTTTTCTTCCCGTTTTATATGTAGTCACATATATTTGATAAAGAGAACAAATTAAAATGTGATCAGTGGTTAGCTAGAATATTAATCAGTTTTAAAGAATGCTAGTTGCTAACTGATTGCTGTTCATCTTCTGCATTTAAAACTAGAAAACAATCAGTAATTGAAGGTTTTTTTATTGATATATTGTTCATATATTCAAAAATAACATCTATTCCAAACATTATAAACAAAAAAAAAGTTATCAGACAATAAAATCTAGAATCATTTTCTTCAGAAACACTACTCATCTCTCTGGACCACAAAGAACTATTAACTCTCATGCATTTGTTTGGGAAGTAGGGCTGGTGTGTTATTTGGTAGTGTAGTACAGGACATGAACCAGACCATTGCTAGTGGCTAGGTCCAGTTATTGTGGGTTTGAATATGAGGCAAAGAAATTATCAGTTTGAAACTACAATAATGGTTATCTTTTATTAAAGATGTTGATTTTTATTTTGAATTTTGGAGGTGAAAAAGTAGGCATGTCTTAAATTTTTCATTTTAGAAAGGAGTATCTGTAAAAAGAAAAAACTCATCTTTTGAAATTTCTACCAAAAAAAAAGTTAAAAAGAAAGAAAAGAAAGTGCTCTCACACACAAGAAGAATGCTCTACCAACTAAGTTACAGAGCTAACTTATAGCAATTGCTAGTAAGGCACTTTTTTAAACAAATAACTCACAACTACTTTTCTGCTTTAACACAAGCAAGGTCACATATTGAATGTCAGTGTGGTTATCTTAAATTTATTATTATGTTCTCAGTTTGGATTCAAGCCCCAAACCTCTCACACACTAGGTGAGTGCTCTACCACCTGAGCTAAAGGGTTAATATACAAGCAATTGCTAATGTCACTTTTCAACAATTCAAATTACTACACCATTATGATTACTGATGCAAAAAAAACACAAAAAACTGCTGAAAATGCATAAAACTGACAAGATGTCAAATATTTCAGAAATTTATATCAAATATATCTTCTCTAATTTGCACTTTAAATACAAAAAAATCTTATCTGTGTGTGTTACTTATAAAACTTTATTATGACTTAATAGTTTTTACTTAGAATGAAGTTTTATAACATTAAGTCTTTTTCCTAATGAAAGAAGAAACTTAGCACTACCTTTATTCTGGGTATTGTACATATTATAAAGGAAATATGTTTACTACATTACCAAGAGTATTGAAAGAGTGCTTTGAGAAAGATACATGTAAGAATGCATTGTCACTCTTTTTGGAATCTGTTCTTTCTGTTCAAAATATTTCAGGAGTTTTTAAATTCAGTTCAGGGTTTAGGCCTAGCCAAGATAGATTTTGGATGTTAGTTATCACATACCTTGCAAAACCTGATGTGCAGTTTGACACTGGATATGGCCTTTTTCCATAAAATTTCATCAATGCAGGCAATGATACTATCTAAACAGCCATAATACAACATGGCCTTCTTGATTCTATTAATTATTACCAGTAGGCCATGCCTAGACAAGATAAAACAAGTCTATTCTATGATATCACCCTCCACTTTCATGATTGGAATGACAATTACTATGCAGACATATCCAAAGTGCTTGCCAGGTTGCCATAAATTCCAGACCTATTCATACAAAACAAACAATGAATGTTGGGATTCAATGTTCCATTCGTTAGGTTTTCAAATGATCAAGGTTCCAAGAAAGCTAGCAACCTTGCATATCAAAGTTTGTATTGATTAAGGAGTTACACATTTCAGGAAGCTACACTGCTACTAGCATGTCTAATAGTCTTACATTTCTTCAATAAATTATCCATAGTGGACTTATGTATGTGAAAGTGACCTGAAATGTCCCAGGAAGTGGTATCACCAGGGGTGCTTCAAGTTACCATTCCTCTTTTAAAATCTGGGAGGTGTTTTTCTTATGGCATTTTGACTACAGTTAATTATCTGTGTCAGCTACTGTCCTTTAGGCCTAGAAAGAAAAACAAAAAAATTTTTGTTTCCAGTTTCCAACCAACTTTTTTTTTATTGCTGGGACCCATAAAATATTTCTTTTTGTTTTTCGAATAAAACGTTGTTAAGAGTTTAAATATCTTGAATCCTTGTAGTTCACTTGTAATGATCACAAATAAATCATGACCTTTCTTCATCAATCTCTACCACTTGCATAGTAAGAGACATTGCATGTTTGTTCAGCTATTGTCAAAACTCCTTGATATATTCAGAATACATCATCACCATTTATAACACTTCAAAGATCATGTTCTTAAACTAACCATGTTAAAAAAAAAAAAATCCTATGTGCCCACCCTAATTTTGAATTCCTGTAATTGGAAACAAAGATATCTGTTTTTAGGTCTTATAAACACTATACAGCACTGCACCATGGAACTGACATATATGTTCAGTAGGGACTGGTCCATTAGTAACTGATGTAATGTTCCAATACATCTGATATTGGAGTCTAATGTCATTAATCTTTAGAATGCAAGTTGAGAAAAAATATTTTGAATTTTCTTGTCTCCTGGGGCAAGTGAAATGTAGAAAGTACTTGCCTTTTATAAAACAACACTAGATACGTTCGTGTAGCTGCATACCAAAAATTTCACCTACCTCCGAATTGATGAAATCAAAGTTTCTTGCAGCATTGTTGAAGACATGATCCCACCATTTAAAACTGAACTGTTCACCTGGGTTATGGCCTACCTGAAATCCAAATAAGTCATGATCTTAAATAATACCTCACATACAGGAAATGACAATAAGTCTTTACTTTTATTTAAAATTCGAAAGAGTTGCCTGGTTAGCCGATTTCATTGAGTTACTCGAAATACAACCTGATCATTTCACATAAATAATATAGTGTGATTCATCACACACATCTATTGCATATTCACTTACAATTTACCTATACAAGGTTAACTCAAAATAGGAAAAAAAACATGCTAGGAGCCCACCTGTTTGTAATTTGTTAAGCACAAAGCTACACAGTGCGCTATCTGGGCTGTGCTCACCACAGGATCTAAATCTGGATTTTAATGTTATAAGCCTTCAGACTTACCACTGAACCACAGGTTTCTACCATTAATTTATCATCAAAATGTTAAGATTTAACAGAAGAATAAATGAATAACTTAATTTGTTATCAATATCTTTCATTATTACTAAGTTAAAGATATAACAGTTTTTCATTATACAAATAGATTACAAGGCTGTTAAGATTTAAATATGTGAACCGTGCTTAATTATCAATAAATGAGGAATTGCTATAAATTAGGTATAATTTCCATATAAAGGGTTTATTATGATGTGTGTTGAGCATATTAAAGCAAGTAGCACCAAGGTTGAGTCAGTTTGGGTTAATGCAAGTGTATATAAAGGGAAAAGTCTTGTAATTGGGATTTGTTATTTGACCAACAGGTCAGAATGAGAAATATAATGTATAATGAGATCAATATGGTAACTGAAAAAAATGTTTTTATTAGGGTAGATTTTAATTTCAAGGGTATTGATTGGGAAAATTTTGAGTCTGACAGTGAGGGGATAGGTTTGTGGAAATTGTTCAGGACACTTTTATACACCAACTGGTGATAGAGCCTACAAGAGAGAAAGCTATATTAGATTTAATATTAGCACCCAATGTGAATATGATAGACAGAGTCATGGTTGGCAAGCATTTAAGTACAAGCGAATTGCACTATTAGGAGTGGGATTTTACTACATGTAGAATTGAAGAAGAATAGTACCCTGATTCCAAATTTCAGGAAAGCCAATTTTGATGGAATGAGACATGATCTGGCTTCTGTAGACTGGACTAAAGAGTTGGGAGGGGATCTTGAACAAATGTGGGAAGCATTTAGGGAAAAATTTATATACATACAGAACATACATATTCCATACAAAAAAAAGGGCAATGGAGTGGAATAAGCCGGTTTGGTTTAGTAAAGGTTTAAGAGATCATATTAGAGATAAACATAATAAATTAAAGAAATTTAAACTTACTGGAAATAATAAAGACTTGAAGGACTATAGGAAATCAAGAGAGCTAATTAAAAAACAAGTTAAAAGGGCAAAAACTATATATGAAAGAGGTTTAGCTGAGAGAGTTAAATCAAACAATGAGGAATTCTTTAGGTATATGATGGGTAAGCAAAATGTTAGGATGGGGATTGGGCCTTTTAAAAATGATAGTGGGGAGCTGATCTTGGAAGATTATGTGATGGTAAACTTATTAAATTATATGTTCTCTTCAGTTTTTAAGAAGGAAGATACAAGTATTATGCTTCAACCAGAGCACGTAATGTATGTGGAAAATATTGATGTAAAAGATATAATTTTTTTAAGTTCTGAAATTGAAGAGAAAAGTTGGGAAACCTCAAAATTGATAAATCCTCTGGTCCAGACAACTTTTACCCTAGTTTTAAAGGAATTTAAAGATTATATATTTGTGAACTGCTAGCTAATATTTTTTATACGTCATTGAGTAATGAAAGAGTATTAGAAGAATGGAAGTTGGCTGATGTTAGTCCAATATTTAAAGGAGGTGATAAACATTGTCCAGGCAATTATAGGCCAGTTAGTCTTACATCAGTAGTGGGAAAGGTTTTTGAGTGTGGTTAAAGATGCATTGCAGTCACTTAAAGCAGTTTGATATAGTGTCAAAGAGCCAGCATGGTTTCACTAAGGGAAAATCTTGTTTAACAAATCTTCTGACATTCTTTGAGGGTGTTTCTGCAAGAGTTGATGAAAGAAATACTGTGGATTTGGTTTACCTTGATTTTCAGAAAGTGTTTGATAAGGTGCCTCACAAAAGACTTGCTACAAAAATTAAATCTGTGGGTGTGGGGGGAATTTTATTAAATTGGATAGAAAATTGGCTGGAGAGCAGAGAGTAGTAATAAATGGAGTTAGATCTGACTTGATTACACTTACAAGTGGGGTGCGTCAGGGCTCTGTGCTGGGTCCTCTGCTGTTTGTGATTTATATTACTGATATTGACTCTGGAATGCCTAAGAAAATTTTGAAGTTTGCAGATGAAATTAGGATTTTTGGGGTGACTAACTGTATCAAAGATGCTGCAGACTCACAGGTAGATTTAGATCATTTGATGCCAGTAAGTGGAAGATGATGTTTAACTATCCAAAATGTAAGGTGATGTATATAAGTTTTCACAATTCAAATTATTGTTACAATTTAAATGGGAATACATTAAATATTGTGGTCTTGATGTTGTGATTGAAAAATCACTTAAGTCATCTAAACAGTGTATTGTAGCTATCAATATGGCTAATAGGATTTTCGACAATGGATATTATTGTTTCACTGTATAGATCACTTGTAAGGCCTCATTTATAGTATTGTGTAGTTTTGTACTCCTTTCTTCAAAAAGGACATTGAATTGTTGGAGAAGGTTCAGAGAAGAGCCACTAAGATGATACCTGGGATGGTGGGATCGTCCTATGAGGAGAGACTAATCTCTAAACTTGTTTTCTCTGGAGAGGAGAAAAATCAAAGGGATTTGAGTGAATGTTTAAGATTATTAAGGTTATTGATAATATAGATCAATCAAACTTTTTTGCGTTTAGCAGTGAAAACAATAGGACAAGGGGTCATAAATTCAAATTTTGGCAGAGTAGGAGTTGCCTGCAGTTCAGACAGTATTACTTTTCACAGGATGGTTGGCTTCTAGAATTAGCTTCCTTCAAGGGAGGTGGAGGCAGAGAATTTAACTGAGTTCAAGAAAAGATTGGATGAATACATGAATAGTAAGGGGTGGTTATAGCTGGGAGCTGGAAGGGCCTTCCTTGATGAGTTAACAACTCCTATTTGTCCCTTTAAAATGTTATGAATAAAAAATTTATGAATATTTTCTATGTAATATTGCTTGTTTTGATTAATAATATTCATTTGAATCTATTACTTTTAAAATGTTAATAGTTTCCTAAGTATAGAGTTAAGATGTCTTGGACGGTTGTAAGATTATCACAATGAGCCATATAGCAATGCTCGTAAAGCTACATACAGTAAGTTTACATTGTGAAAGCACTATAGTGTTCAATTAAAAAACTTAAACAAAACAAGTCTTTAATTAACTGCTCCAAGCAGATTGACAAAGTTACAATAGGGCATTGTTATCAATCAAATTTTCTATAAACAACATTGTTGATTAATTGGATAAAAGCACTAGTCAAATGAATAAATAAAAATTATAAAAGAAAAAAATTATTATAAATAAAGAGCAAAACAGAACAGAGTAACAGTAACACTTTGGTTAGAAAATAAATACGAAACTTCTTACATCTTGTACACTAGGCATTTTGTACATTTTATTAATGTAATGAAGCTGTTAAATGTACACCCTCACCCTGGCTTCATCATTATGGCCTGCCCCATTCCATGGATAAAGCTGTTTTGTGTAAAATTGTTTTTTAACACAACAACTTTTGTTCAAATAATATGCATTATACAAGTAAAAAGATCAAATTTTTTCATGTAAATGACATTTAATGTGTGATCACTATTTAAACACTTCATTTCTGTTAACAAAAGAAAAAAAATCTGTGACTGGTTAAATGCCAACCTGATGAACCTCCAAATGTTTAGAACTATCTTCAAATTCTTGGTTAGCGTACAAATTTTCAAACACAGCTCTACATAAGCATAGAAAGTGCATTCCATGTCATTTTGAATTATGGCTCAGTGTCAATTACAAACAAAGTTATGGCATTTTTAACAACTGAGTGGATCCTATCTTAGCTCTTGTTAAAGCTGTGACCAATGAACCTTGAGAGATTTGTTTTCATAATATGTAATTAATTAATATTTTTCATATTTTAAATTTTCAGTATAATGGTTGTTCCCATGTTGTTTTATATTCTTTATGGCAAAGATATACGCATGTGAATGGTCATAATATAGTGGACAGAAATTGTGAAGAACTAATCAATGTCCATGGCAAAATGTGTTGATCAAAGTAATGAAATTTAATAATATTAGTGATTAAACATAGATCTACAAAGATTAAATATTCAAAATTAAAAACCTGTCATGACTGTATAAACTGTAGACCAAAATGTTATAAACTTTACTATTAAATAGTGAGGCTGAACTTAAAATATTCAGTGGTTATGTCCAGGTTGCAAATTCTTACCTACTCCTTCAATATATAAACATAAAACACAGAGCACTTACTTATATTACACATATAACATTAAAATTCTTCAGGAAAATAACTGTAAACAAATGTTTACATTAACTCTGTACTATTGAAAAGAGAAACTTACCCCATAAGTGTCAAACTTCAGTTTTGGTTTCAAAGCAGTAGAAATGCCATTTTCATTTTTCCCAAGTCCTTTACCTGTATTATAAAATTTATTTATGTATTTATCACTCTAAACATATACATATAAACTAATATATATATAGGTCAATGGTTGGAGAACAAATCCACAAACATCATAAGATATGACATGTACATCCAAATGAAATAATATGGTCATACAAAAAAATAAAAATAAATCACAACAAAATAATATTCTCATGAACTGGCTACTTAGCAAGTTAAGACATTAATTATACTTCACACTAATCTTAAAAACAAGTCCTTAATTTCAGCTTTTGTAATTCAGGAATGACAGGTATGCAAAAATAGTATTTTCATAAATCAAAAAACTGTAAAGCATGAATCAATTTGATTACACAAGTAAATCACAGCCAAGGTAAAGCAATATTCAACAGCCAATTTTGGACATGCCAAAATAAGAATTTAACAAAAAAAGTGTGAATTACAACTAATGTAGTGCGATTTTGAAACTGCAGTGAAGCTGAAACTTGTTGAAATGAAAGCTGTTGTTACTTATAAATCAATAAATATAGTTAAATTTCTTTTCTACTTCAGGTCTAAATGATGTTGTTGTTTTTCCCACTCTAACATTCGTTACAAATGTTTAGCCATATCTATGAAAACCAAAATTAAAAGAAAAAGTGCTTCGTTTAAGATTTAAATTTTTTACTAGTAATACCACACTGTCTGCAAATGCAACTTGCAAGTGAGCTCCAAGTATGACTGTGTCTCACTCTCACTGGTATTAATTCTAATTTAACTTGAATATACTTCTACAATCAGACCATTTAAAACACCTATAAATTACAAAGATTCTAAATGCTACTACAATAAAGTATCATAAAAAAAGAACAAATTTACCTTCTGTCCATCCAAACTTTTTCAACTGTTCTCGTGCAAAATCTGCCATTTTCAATTATCGTGGTCAACTTGAGATCCAATGACTGTGAGGACCTCTAGTGGAATAGATGTATAAATCTTTTAGTATATTTTCTTAATCTTTCTAAGATAATAAGCTGAAATCAATGGTAACATATGCCAAATTAAAAGCAAAATGCATGTAGCGTTAACAAGTGTTAATTAAAAAATACAGCCACTCACGGCTTTGATCTTAAATCACATGAATAGCTTTCTTATTACACAGCGAACACAACCAAAGCTACACAATGGGATCACCTGTGCTCTGTCCACCGCGGATCTCGAAATCCAATCTTTTGTGTTAATTGTTTGTTTGAATTTACGTACAAAGCTCTGCCCACCACTGGTATCGAAACCCGGTTTTTTGCGCTTTAAATCCGCAGACATACCGCTGTGCCACTGGGAGATCTTTTTGTGTTATAAGCTCTCAAATTTTCGACGGAAATGTTATAGCAAGTGAAAGTAGGTCGATTAATTGAAAGTGAATTAATTGTTTACAAAAAATTACTTGTACATTGTAACTGCTGCAAAATCATAACTTTATATAAAAAAGAGCAAACATGAATACAATACAATGGCGGATATTACAGTTTAAATTCCGAAAGACGATCGTACGTTGAACGGTCATGTGTTTAGCACAACCTATATACGCTCTCATTTTGAAGTGACAGATTACATGTTATACATTATTCATTAGTAATCATGACATAGTTGTTTGTTTTTCTGGAAGTTCAACTATTATATAATCTTAAGTTCTTAATTTTATGACTTGATCTAATTACTCGTACGAAAATGTCATAGAATAAATCGTTGAAGAGATAAATCACCGTAGGGATAGTGAAAATATAAATACTCATATTTCCATAAAATTGGTATACAACGTTTTGGGCTAGTGCCCTTCTCAGGTAAACTCGCTAGTTAACTTGATGTTATGTTGTCGTTTTAGCGCAATACTACACAACGTTCTATCTTCGCTGTGTCCACTGCGGGAATCTAACACTGGATTTTAGCGTTGTAAGTCGTAAACTTTCCGCTGACCAACTGAGGCACCATTATATTAGCGACTTTACCTGAAGGAGGGCACTAGGTAGAAATTGTATTACAACTTTATGAAAATATACACTTTATATATTTTCCTTGATACTATTTTTTTCTGTGATTTTTTTTAACAACTTGGTCTTATTATCAACTTTTCGTCTTTCTACTTTTGGAATTCAAATGTCATAATTGCCTTTGGTTCACAGATTATTCTGTGTCATGTGAGCTAAGTTCCAAAAGCGTATCGTTCCGTTTTCAATGCTTCTTTATTAAGACTTAAACTATATTCTTTATAATTAACCAACATTGTGATTAAAACAAGTTAACTTTAGATGCTTGTTTTTTTCACATTCCTCTTAATTTGTTCATTGCGGCTCGAAACCAGAGTCGTAGAAATACAGCAACATTTCGCCGGCGTGATTTTGTTTATTTTGTTTGTTATTAAGCGTAAAGCTGTGCAATGGGCTATCTGTACTCTGCCCGCTGCGGGCATCGAAACCCGAATTTTAGAGTTATAAACTCTGAGACATACCGCTGAGTCACTGATCATCATTATCATCATAGACATACTTTGTATGGACATTTATATTGTATTTCATCTATGTTAAGCCTTTTTCATGTGCAGTTGTGATATGGAGGTATATCATATGCTTTCTACTTAATTTAGTTATATAGAAATGTTTAAATTGGTGGTCATTTAATTTACACATTATAACGGCGGCAACACGTGGTCCAGAAAGTCGTTGAGATTGCCCTAATCTTTAACCAGTTCTACTAACAGATACTGGAGAGAAGACCAGCTAAACCCATTCCAATAGAATCGACTGTGATTCTGTTTGCGCAGGTACACTCACATATTGTGCTTTCTGTTTGGTTATTATAATAAATAGTTTGTTAATATATTCATTATTTTACACTTAACGAAATTCAGTCAAATCATTAAATACAGAACACTCCTCTTTATTTATTGACCGAATCTGTTGTTATTAGCAGAATTACCTATGTGATGCCTGTCGGAAATACCACATGATTAAGCACGAAACTATCACACGGTTACAGATAAGTTATTACTACAACCCAAATATTATCAGGAATATTCGTTTAAAATGTTACTTAAAACAACAAAAGTGAGAATCAAAACTTTTTTTGTTGTTGTTGTTGTTCATGGCAGGTTGAATTTACCAACGCCTTCGTATACAATGGTATTCTGAACAATAATAAAAAATGCATGTTTTTATTGCTGTCGATCTGTATGTATCTTTGGGGCAAGTGTGAGATCGATGATTTTTTAAAATTACAAACAATAGATTTTCGGTTGATATAAAAGTACAAAGTTTTGCACTTACACCTTTTAGCGCGTGCATATAGATATTTCTTAGCGTAGAACGTAGAGGAACCATATGGATGGTTGTTGTCAACTGACTTCCATTATACATCTTCTAGTTGTTTTATTTCGTCGATAGAGTTAAGTACAGCAATAAGAACTCTCACTGTTTTGCGGTGTCTTTACACATCTTTTTGTTTGTTTGTTTGTTTTTCATTTTCGTGTAGCCCCCTAGTGGCACAGCGGCATGTCTGCGGATTTACAACGCTGGAATCTGGGTTTCGATACCCATGGTGGGCAGAGCATAGATAGCCCATTGTGTAGCTTTGTACTTAATTACAAACAAACAAACTAACTAACTCAATTATAGCAATTAAACACATTAAGTCACTAAAAATCCAATCACTTAATTCAATGTCAGTGTTACTTGAAATATTTTTACTAAAATAAAAATGGTCCTTTTTTTTTACCAAAAAGAGTTGACGATTATAAAATATTAATAAACAAAACACAATCTTATTAAAATTCAAAGTATAAGATACGAATCTTAATGGCCTGATGGTAAAGGCACTCCACTCGCAATTTGCGAGTCGCGGGATTGTAACCCGTTGCCAAACATGTTCGCTCTTTAAGCTATGGGGCGTTATAAAGTCACGGTCAATTCCACTATTGGTTGAGAAAGAGTATCACGAGAGTTGGTGGTAGGTGGTGTTTATTAGCTACCTTCCTTCTAGTCTATCACTTAACATTAGGGGTTGCTAGCACAGATACCAACTGAATAGCCTTGCGCGAAGTTCATCAACAAAAATACCATTTAGTTAATTTAAACTCGGATTAAAAGTAACTACACTGAGTGCACGTTTTTTACAAGTTAGGCTAGAATTATTACAACATTATAATTTAAATCTCTATTCTAAGGCGTTTTTAATGGAGCCAAGTAAAGTAAACTTCAAGTAAAAAGAACAACTAAATGAAGTAAGAACTAAGAACTAAGTTTCAGTAAAGACATTCAATAACGAACGTAACTAATATTAGTAAATCAATGCATAAAGTCATAATTCGTGCAAATATAGATAGATAAGCCAGATTTAAAAGCACAGAACAATAGTTAATACTTCAAAATGGAAGCATACAGTGCAACTTAAAAAACTAGAAACGTCAAGAACCTTGTAAATGTCACTTAGTGTGTAATGAATGTGAAACTATCTTCAATGTGTTACATATCAATGTATATAATAACAAAATGTCGGTCGATCAGTCTGTTGGTCACACGACTCCAATTCCACTTTTTCTCCTATAATACTTCCTCTTTTGATTGTCCGTTCCCATTTTAGTTGAATTTAATCTCTAACATAGGCGTAAATAGATCCTAAATTTTGGCACTTTTTCTACTATATAAAAGCCTATCAAGGACGGAGTTTCCAGGATCAGATCAGGCATGGTGTTATGTATGTGACACAACATCATCCACATCATTATGACGTCAAGCTAGGTAGGATCCGTATAGGAAAGCCGGGAAGACTCCTGTGAAAAATAAGTTAAAAGTTAGCGCAAATCTATGCTTGGGAATTATTATGAAAAAGCCTTTGTTAAAACAAACTGAAGATATCAATTATCTGTAGGGAAGAGGACGACTTTGCCTCAAAAGAAGAAAAAGTGTGTTTATGCAATCACATGGTCATCGTATGTTTCAATCTTTTATCCAAAGGCACCAATATGTAGCATGTTTGCTCAGTTATATGTAATGAATTCAGAAGCAATATGTAGCATGTTCCTGGGAAAGAAAATTTATTTATATTTCTTTTATTTATTTCTTTGGTGTATTGCAAGTTATATACAGAATAGTTTTGGTTTTTAGTGATTTCCCGTCATTTTTGACGGGCTTTTACGCTAGTTTTAACATATTCGTTACAATCACAGAAGAAATCCCTCTTATTTCAATTATAACTTATGTGAACTTTAGTCTAGCCTCCAAACAAAATATTATCATAGGTAATTTTTGAAGACATAAGAAAAGCCTCAATCGGGTCACCAAGGGAAACTGAGAATTAAGTAATATCGTTATATCATAAATGATAACGAGGTCAAGAGTTTGAGCTTTTTTTGAATATTTTTTAATCAAAACTTTTATTACTTCCATTATGTAAGCTTTATTAATAATTAGTACATTGTGAATAGTGAAATATTGTTTGGTAGCTAATATTATTTTGTTTAACTTTACTTGCAAAATCGAATATTTTATCAAATGATTAAATTACAGGCAATCTTAATTTGATTAAGACGATGGTAAAAAAATACACAAAAAAACAGTAGTACACAAGGATGTAAAACGTACAAACGAACCCGTCACTGGGAGTATGCATAGATGTAAGACTTTACAAAAGAACCCGTCACTGGAAGTATGCATAGACGTAAAATGTACAGGCAAATCCATCACTGGCAGTATACGTGGATGTAAAACGTACAAACGAACCCATCACTGGCAGTATATATGGACGTAAAACGTACAGACGAACCTATCACTGGCAGTATGTATAAATATATATGTGTGCATGTGTGTGTGTAGAAAATATATTTTAACTTAAACTAAGTTAAAGAAGCTGGTAATATTATTAAGACTAAAATACTTGCCTGAAAGGGAAAAATTTTGAAATTAGTGAAAGTAGAGTAGCGGTT